GCAGTGGCCGCGCTTGGTTGTGGCTTGGTCCGTCGAGTTGTCCCTCGCTGAGTCGGTGTCTCCTCGGTCTCACTCCTCTTCCCGTCATCTGTGGCTCTGTCCTTCTGCACCGGTGAAGCAGTGCCTGGGAAGGCGAGCTTCCGTCCTCGATGATCGGCAGCGTCGTACGATGGTAAGCTTCTCTTTTGCTGCTTTGTCTCGGTTTCATTTGCTGCGACAGGTAGAGGGCTTCTGGGGATTGGACTGATAAGATGGCTCTCTTGGTTGGGTCATATGGACGATGCCTAGCATTGTAGGCTTTCGGCCCTTTCCTCTTCTATTTCGGCTGTCGGGCCGGGTTGGCTGAGGCTACCTATGACTGCGTTGGTAGTTTTGTGGTGGAGTCATTTCGGCTGGGGGTTGGTTGTTCCTACAATTGTGTGGAGTGTGGGCTAAGCCCTTGGTTAGTGTTGTATGGCCGAGCATTCGCCTTGCTAGGCCTTTCGCAGTGGTGGGCGGAGGTTTGGTTCTCTGATGCTGGCTTCGGTTTTGGTTTGTTCGGCTGACATTTGGATTCGACTGTTGTGGGGAACGTATTAGTTTGTAGTTAGTTTGTCTCGTTTGTGTTGTGTTGTGCGAGTTTTGTGTCCTTTGTTTTTATTTGTGTTTTTGTGTTTTGGGTTTGGGCCGTTGGCCCCTGTTAACCTAGGTGTCACCTTTATTCTCCTGTTGGGAGCCAACACCTAGGCATTCTCCCGTTGGGAGCTTTTAGTTTTGTGATTGTGTTTTAGTTGTGTTTTTCTCCCGTTGGGAGCCAGTTTCTAGTTGTTCGTTGTTTAAGTTAGGTTTTCTTCTGGCGTTGCCAGCGAATCTAGGCGGACTTCGGTCTAGCCTTCCAGTTTGTAATTCTGCACATTTGTGCGCCTTTTATATATTTATTCTGTCGTTTTGGGAAAAAAAAAAAACTAGTGTCCCACATTCCAAATAACACATTTTATATTCGAATTAGCCCAGGGATAATTTTTTTGAGGAAATTGCACCCTCTACGTCAGTTTCCTTAATATATTATAGATTTACAACTATTAGTTAAATATTTATGTAATTACTAAACTAAGCATAAAATATTGCTAAAATACCTAAAGTTAAAACTTTGGATTTATATCAGATAATTAAGGATTTTTACGTAAGTTACGGGCAAATTAAAACCTCCAAAGAAAAACGGTTGCCCACGTTCATCCTCTCACGCGATCCTCGAAAAACCAAAATCTTTTTCAGAAGGAAAAAAAAAAAAAACTTCCTCTGTCAATGGCGAAAACGAAATCGCACGCAATCCTCGGGAAAAAAACGGCGAACGAAGGCGATGAAACAGCACAGATAAGGTCAAGTTCCCGGCTTCGGAAGACCATTTCAAAACCAAAGCCCAAACTCATTCAGAAGAAGCTCGTTTTTGAGAAAAATACGAAACCTAACCCTAATCGCAAGTCCACCGACAGTGATGATGAATCCCCTGGTAGTGCCCCCGAAGAGTTAGGTTTAGTCTTTTGAATGTGGGAAAAACAACATAGACACTTTTAAGTATTTATTTATGTTTGATTTTTCTGATGGATGTGATTGAATGGGGGGAAAACATTGAACTTGTATTTCTGGTATATCTAACTTATATTCTGTTATATTTTTAGTATTTTAGTTGTACTTTATGGTATTTTTCTGGTATATTCTGATGGACAGATTAATTGTTTTTATTTTTTTCTTTTTTCCCGCTGTTTTTTATGTTTGGCTTATGTGAGGTATATGTTTGGTATATGTTCTGGTAAATGGTTGGCATACATGTGGTATATGTTTGGTACATTTGTGGTATATCTTTTGTAATACATTTTTATCCTTCGTATATTCTGATGGACAAATTAATTGTTTTTTATTTTTTTCTTTTTCCCTTATGCTTTTTATGTTTGGCATATATGTGGTATATGTTTGGTATATATTTTTGTATATATTTTGCATACATGTGGTATATGTTTGGTACATGTGTGGTATATTCTTTGTAATACATTTTTATCCTTCGTATATGTTTTGTATATGCGTAGTACATTTTCATTCACGACACATTCATCCCCATGATGTATGAAGATCATCATATTCGGATCCATCTTAAAAAAAAAAAAAAAAAAACGTGGACATGAGAACATACATATACAATCGGTAGAAAAAAATCAACATCTTCCATGAATTCAGAAAAATATACTTCCAAACATCACGAAAATATACCTCCAAATATCTGTCCAATATACTATTGTTATCTCCTTCTTCAGTGTTTTGTTGCGTGATGAGTTCCCACGAATAATCTGATCGCTGCCGCAAGTTTAATTTTTTTTTCTGTTAACGAAGCTCGTGTTTCAGACTTTCAGTAAAATCTATTCGTCGTCGTGTCGTTCTTCAGTGTTTTGTTGCCTGATGAGTTCCCACAAAAATTCCGATCGCCGCCCCAGGTTTTTTTTTTCTGTTAACGAAGATCGTGTTGCAAAAATCTCGTCGCCGCCTGTTTCAACGATGAGTATGCACTCAAATTCAAAAATAATATCTTTTCCATTATGATATCCTGAAATTATGCTCTAAAAATTAGGAATATTTGTTCATCTTTCCAGTAACTGATTTTAGGCATGTTAATAATTACTTTTTATCTCTTAAGTAAATACACAAATAATTTGTTTTTAATGGTAATATTACAAATACTTAAAAATCGGTAAGTATACTTAAAAATTTCCCAATTTTTTTCGCCTTGATGAGATAATTTTTTCAAAGATAATTAAGACCAAAAAACACTACCCAAATAGTTAACTAAGACGAAGTCGGCTAAGGCCCATCAAACATCAAACTGACACAATCTAAATAACAAAAAGCCCACTAAATTTGCCGATAGAATTAAGAGAGAGCCAGAAAAGAACGAGACAGACAAATCATAAAAATGGCGAAGTCTTGCAAAGGTCTGGCTATGGAGCTCGTCAAATGCTTGAGCGATTCTGACTGTGTTAAGGTACATATAAGTTGCACTATTTCACTTCCTTCATTTTTGTCCCTTAATTTTATTATTTCGAGATTTTGAGCTTATTTTTTGTTGTTCAAAATTGGATTGCACAAACATTTTGAGCTCTATGTGTTGTTGGAATAATTTTGTTGCTCTTCGTTTTCCTTGGTATCTGATATCCATGGCGGACTGAATCGTTGTAGGTTGAGAACCGGCCGTACAGAGAATGTGCCAAAGAGAAGAGCCCGAAAATTTCAAGCGAGTGTGTGGGGCTTAGAGAAACGTATTTCAACTGCAAAAGAGGACAGGCACGTAATTTGTTTTTCCTTCAACTGTTTTCTGCGTTTATCTGGTTTCATGATTTTAATGATAGAGTAAATTAAAAAAAAAAAAAATAGCATTACTTGTGTCATGAGAAGAAACTTTGATGTGTAGGTTTTCAGTATGAATTTGTTTTCTTGTGCAGCTATGTATTTTTCGGTCATTGTGGAAGCTGCATTCTCTTGAAATTTATGGAAATTATTGTTGTTGCCGTATTTATAGGCCAATTTGACCCGTATATATAGGCTAATTCGACCCGGGCCCACACTGGGTTCCGAGCTGTTTGACACACACCTGCCTGCGTTTGTGTGTGTGTGTGTGTGTTGATCTATGTTCTAACGGCTCGTAACCAGTGTGGCATTAACTTGTACTTTTAAGCTTGCCTTTTGGCTTTGGGGCTGTTTGAGATATTTAAATTGTTGTGCGTGTGTGTGTGTGTGTATGTTGATCTATGTTCTAACGACTCATAACCAGTGTGGCATTAACTTGTACTTTTAAGCTTGCTTTTGGCTTTGGGGCTGTTTGAGATATTTAAATTGGAACATGTAATGGTATTAGATTTAGTGTGTTTAAATGGGTTTCAGATAAGTAGATAGCTTTATATTGTGCCCTTTGTTACAGGAACAGTAAGTAATTATTTGGTGTTAAACTGCTTTATGAACCCTGAATTCGGTTAAAGATTATTGGCTTTGGTCTTTGGACATGACTAGTATTTATGGCTCTCAATTAAGATAGTGCTCTCTGCTTTGCATGTTGTAAACAGTGTTCATGAAATACCTTTGTGGCTTGTGCAGTAATCGTCTCTTACAACTCAATTTGAGAACATTACGGCCACTTCTTTCATATTTCTATACTTTCTCCTTTTGCTGCTTCAACAAATGTAATGTTTGGAGTAGGAAACAAATGATACCTTTTTATCAGTCCCAGGCTCTTGAATATTTTCCGGAACAAATAATTGATTCTAGAGGTGTCCATACTCGAGCTTTTCGTGTCTGTTAAAGATGTCAAAGCACAAAACACTTGGTTGGGATATGAATAATTGTTTCTTCCAAAGTTATTTCTGTACTGTGGGTAATGGCGCTAATGAGGAACTTAAATTTACTTCTCTAGAAAAAAATAAATCAACTTTTATTGATGTTTTAGTAATGTTCATACATATGTTGAGAATAGTAGGAAAAAATTGAAGTTCATCGTACCTGATTCCTTGTGTATTGGATTTTCTCTTCCAATATCTGTTTTAATCATCTCGAGGTAAATGGTGGACATGTTGACCTATCGTCACAAGACATATGGTGCTTCAATGCTTCTTTTATGCACTTATTTATTGTTGAGTAACTCAGATTTTTGTGAAGGAAACAAAAAGAACAAGAAAAAACAGAACAACACTTGAAAATTATTGATGATAAATGGATATCAGTGAACAGAGCAGGATTATAACAAATTATTTTTTTATGTCTCGTTCACTGCTGTCTTGTATGTGCCAAAACATGGATTTTGTCTAAAATTGTAGCTTTTGCATATTCAACAGTCAGCAGGAAGACTAGCACGAGATGCTTAATTTATATTATAGTATGTTTATTATTGTGAATTTAATGGTCATATTTTGCAAGTTTTGCAATTAGTTGGTGTGTAGCTTTTGAATAAATCCTGCATTTCTCGGCATACAATCACAATAACTATCAGTTTATTATTACTTACTGAGCATATTTTATAAATTTGTTTTCCAAATCTTAACATTTTTTTTTCGCACTGTATTCCAGGTTGACATGAGAGCTCGTATTCGCGGAAACAAGGGTTACTAGCTGATGGACTGATGGTGGATTCAAGCTGTGCGATACTGATATGAAATCCAACATTTAAACTCAATTGAACCACGATAAACCACGAGATGAAAATTGTGAGGTGATCTTGTGTGATGCTACTCGTTTTACTATCAAATCATACAGAAAGCTAGCTATCAATTTTTGTTGAAGAGCTACAAGTTACTGTTTTCTGCTTGTATATAACCAAATAAGCAACTTTTAAACCAGTTTTGATCTGCCTGCCGATGTCTTCCTAATAGAAGACTAACTTATGATTATACTAGTTGTCCTATGGCCGTGCACGCACGGCCGGCCTAAGTTTAGTCAATAATCTCCAAATTTTTATTACTTTTTTGTCGCCTAACAAGATCGCAAATTTAAACGTCAAATCTCATCATCGCAAATTTTAATGTGTCAAATCTTAACCATACATTTGCTCGACTAATAAGACTACAAATACATACATTTGGATGTCAACCTCAACCAATACTTAAATTAAGATATATTTTGATTACCTATTAGACTAAAGATACAACCATCAAATAAATATGAACAAATAAAACATAAAGCCATATATAGGAACATAGCTTGCAAAAAGCATACCTTTAATTTTTCTTATTTCTTGCTATAGTTTGGCAAACCAACCTCTAAGATTCAAGTTTCTATGAGGAGTCAATGATAGAGTGAGCATGGCTGACGGGCATACATTTGCGAAGTTCGTTGCCTCTCTCTCCATTTTACTTAATACTGATAATATATGTTTTAACATTGTATTGTGTTATAACTGTTTTGTTGTTGAACCAACCTATGTTGATGCGAAAATGTGACAACTGTGGTAACTTGTGAAATAGATAGAATTATGCGAATGTTGGATAGTTCTTCAGAGCACAACAAGTCATGTGAACATCGCTTGGAACATAGTATTTATCAAAATTTTGGTCTCTCCAACTTTCTTGATGAAAAAATCTAGCACAACAGTTATTCTAAGTTTCTAACAAATTGTCAGTTTTATATAATAATTTTTACATCTCTGCATATCTTTCTAACATATTTGTTTAAAAAAAAAAAATGTTTCAGTGGGTACGTTACGCCACATGGTCTCAGCGTTGGAGATGACGAACTGTAGGTCGCTGGTCTCTGGTCTCTGAAGCTGGCTGAGTGGCTGAAGAACGTTGCGATGGTGGTGGCGCTGCTCATCAACCTTTTGTTAGAGTACAATCTGTCGGAATTCGAGTTCCTGCGCAAATATCTTATTGGAATTAACCTCTGAAAGAAACTGGCCTCGCATATTGCCATGCTATTTAATCAATTTACCTCCGGAAAAAAGAACAAAGTTTGGCAAAACCGAAGCAAAATCTAGGCAGCTTTGAAGATAAGTGAAATACTAATTTAAATTATAATGTAGGAAAGAAAAAAGAGAAATACATAACCATTTCTAGTCATGGAAAACCAGCAAAAGAAATTCATGTTCAAACATGTGGCGGAATGGACTAAATGGACCATGACCAGTAAAACTATACATAATAAGAAAAGAGACATTTACGGCTTGATTAATTTGAAGTCCATCTTAAGATTGAATACATCTTAACTCGGAACTGGATATTGTCCACTTTGAACATTTTTCTGTCTTTAGAGACTTTCAGATTAAATCCATACATTCGTGCAGACATTCATCAAAGAATCCATAGACTTTGGGTGATCTGCAAGCCAAAGACAATAAAAACTATAATTCATTATAAAAAATAATCTGATAAAAAGAATCTCGTAAAGCGAATAATCGACTGGAATGTTGATGAGAGAGCTCTTATTTGGTCTTATAGGGTATTTTTTTGCTTTACAGAAAATAAATGAACCCATAGGGGAAGGATTTTCTCAAAAATTGAATATGTTTGGTGATGCGACAGAAATAAATACGGCCTCAGAATCTCAAGGCTATCAAAATAAATTATCTTAGAGGCTCACATACATCAGAGTCACATAAGTCGTGGCTGAAGTCTGGTCAAAATTCCAAAAGCAAGAAATTGAAGAATGCCATCAAAGTTATGGGAAGATGTGGGAACTCAGTTGGCTGGAAATCTGGAATAACAAGTTGGGACCAATATGGTTGTCTCTGAGTTGAGAACTTAACAAAATAATTTCTTACCTGTCTACTTTCATGATTCCCCCAGAGAATTGTTATACGCTGAGGATAGCGTACTTTAAGATCTATTTAAAGCTGCAGGAAATAAGTCCATAATCATACTTACTTGTTTAAATAAAATATAATAAGGCAACTGAACATGGGTATTTTTATCATAAATAGGATAGATATCATGACAGAGACCAATGATAATCAAACTAACAATGTGCTTGTGCTTGTATCTCTTCTAATAATGAACTTGCAGAAACAGTTTCGACCAAGTAGTAGCCACGATCAACATAAACTCCTATAAATAGGTAGTTAGTGTCTGACACTGTTAACAAAAAGTACAGACAATGTCGGGGTGACCCCATATAAGTTGCAAAACTATTATAGAACCAATTTCATGCATTATGAGAAAAAACACCAAGGGAGAATCATTCTACACAACCAAACCACATTTTAAATAGATGCAAGATGACCAGTAGCATAACATCATCATAGTGAAAACATGCAGCATACATGGAAATAAATTTATATTTTCATTCTTCTCATGTTAAGAAGTGACGGCGCCTGTTGTATTCATAACTAAGAGCCACGACAGACAAGGTAAAATTCTATTCAATTTCTACCTGTTATGAATAACAAAAAAATCCATCATGAAGTCTGATCCGTTGACTGCTCTCGCAGATTGATTTCTCCTATTGCAAAACAAAGAGTGATACAAGCTTTATGAACGTCATAGTCAATTGATGTCCAAAAAAGAAGTAAATCGTACACATTCACCCCAATTCTATCAACCCCAGCAGAGTCTCCACCAGCCTCCATCAACAGATCGAACGCTGCCGTGCAGAATAGAGGAAATCATCTCGATAAGAAGCCGCGCGTGCTCAACGGTGATTTGGAGGTCTCGGGACAACGTATCAACTACCCGCTCGGTCGGATTGGACGATAGGAGATTCGATTTGGAAAATGAAAACTAAGAGTATGCAATGGAAAATGAAAAGCAAGCAATGGTTAAATGAAATAAAGCAATTAATTACTTTATCATAATTCTAAACTCGAAGAGAACGATTACATCAGCACGGTCTACATATTCCTCTTCAACAGGTTCAGACTTCCGCCAATAATGGCCGTGCCCGTCTACATACAGTCCTCCGACAGCACCCTCCGCTTCTGAGGCGCAGTCACTGTCTCTCGTTCCTAAGTCGTGCTCTCTCTCCCCTAACAGAAGTTTGAGTCCGGGGGCGTTTCCCAGCTCACGGCGGGAAACTCATCGTCGCTCTTTGTGAAGATTGATGGGTCGGTGGAGGACCTTGTGTGCGACCCATAGGTAAAACAGCTCGCGGTGCTCTCACAGGCGTTCTCGATGTGGAGCAGCGCCGGCGGAAGCACAATCGACGATATGCCGCTGTGGGCCACCGATCTATATTTCGATATGAGAAACTCATTGTCCATTAGGCACCTATCTTCACTCTACGAAAGGGTATAAAGTTTGGGAGGTGGTTTGAAGAAATTAGATCTGCCATTTCGTCTTTTAGAAATTTTCATTGCGAAGATATCGTACAGAGAAATCACATTAGGTAGGATTTGATGGAGATGGAGTGCATAAAGAGCAGAAATCCTGGGAAATGCAATAATGAAAAATGCAATCACCCAAAAACCTAGTTTTTAAATTGTACCAACATAAATATGAGGGTCGTTTGGTAAATGAGTGCAGCATACAATGGCCACGCACCTCGTGCTGAGAAGCTTCTTGTTCCAGCTTATAGTGGTTAGCACACAGAGCCTGGATAATCTCTCTCTCATGGCAGGTGGTTATAGTGAGGAGCACCTTCAACTGCGTGACCCTCCACTCGGTAACTCCTGGTCCTACCGCCGGCGCACACCGTTCTCAGATCCTCCGCTGTTGAATCGAACACCGGCAAGGCCATTGGGTGAAACATCTAGAACCACATGGATGAAAGTTTGTGGGATTTTTGGGGTAACTGAAGCTATATATAGATTGATTGATGAAAAATAGTTGACCGATTGCTTAATAAAACATAAAATCAATTTATAAAACTAATCATGTATTAAGGTTTCAGAAATTTGATTTGTACCCTCTAACCAGTAGTCGTGCTCCACCTAAAAATCCAGTCCGGCCTCTCTGTCACCGTCACCATCTTCCTTCTGGGGGCAACAAGGTCTTTTCTGTTTGGATCCACACATTTCAATTGTTATTTTATGAGCATAATATTCGCACCACCCAAACATCGAGTGCAAATTCTCAACATGAAATCAAAGATAAAATATTATTTTTTTTTTAAAAAAAAAGCTAATCCAAAGAAACCCTAACCCATCAACATGAATAGTTTTTGGCTAAATTATCAAAGTAGAAAAATCAAAATACATATAACTCACCTTAAAATTAGGAATGAGATGCCGTCGAAGAGGCTTGAGATCCATTTGAGAGAATCGGGATTCCGGCGATAATAATATTTCCCCTTGCAGCAAAAAACCACCAAGAACTCATTCGATCCACCTCGATTTTGACTCGTTGGGTTCTGAGAACCAGCCAAAAAGCGGTCCGCACCCATCGTTCGATTGCGTCGCCGTTGCATAGACTCTTGAGGCCGCGCGAGGTTTCGTCGTCCATTGATGTGCCTTTGCAAAAGAAAAAAAAAATATGAATGCGACAATAGATTGAAGGTTGCGTGGAGAACGAAAATCGCAGAATTTAGGGAAACCAAATCCTTCAAGGTGTGTCCTTTAGTCGAGTACAGCAATCGCGCAAGGCAATGGGACGCAAAGCCAGATTTTTAGGGAAAATTTTTTTATCTGACATTGCTTCACCGATTTTCGGGGCAAAGTTTGACAATTTTGAAAGAAAAGTCTGAAA